TCATTACAATTTAAATGGAAATCTGAGTTTGACTGCATATCACGCTTTAGTCTACTAATTTCTTCTATTTGTATTATCACTACGATATTCTCTTTGAACCAAAAGACTAATTAAATGCACCTCAATGCCTTCTGAGAAGCATTCCTATATGAATTCATTGGCACCCAACCCATCTCGAAGAATTGCAATTGAAACTTGGTAACATTTTCACTAGGATCATGATATATGAAAAACAAAAGCAACTGAATTTTGCTAGTTCACGAAAATTTGCAAAACAGTGATAACAATGATAATAACAATAACAATACTAATAACAAAAAAAACTACCCCCTAACGAGCACAATAATAATTTCACAAAATACCAATAAATCAAGACCAATAAAACTAACCGTTATGTTGAATGGCTGATGTTGACGGTTGCTGCATTTGAATGTCGATTTGCTGTTGTTGTTTCGTGATAATAACAGGTGATGTAGACTGTACAGGTAGCATCGTTGTGAGTTCACTACTATTACATAACTCATAGTCAATAATACCGAGTTCGTTGTTCGGAACGCTGGCATTATTTGGGTTATTCGGGTTAGCAGCCGTGTAGTTGGATGTCGTTGCTAACAGATCTTGTTGATGAACTTGTGAGGGCATTATGGGATCAACAGATGAAGGAGGTATATGATTTCTTAATGTGATGAATTGTGGTTCACACTGCGATTGGGATTGCGATTGCGATTGAGAGGACGATGCAGCGGTGCCTGACGATGACAAGGGTGACGACAGTTTTGGAGCGGGAGGTACTACTTGAGTCTGCATGAACGGAGGTTTTGCCTCATTCATCGGGATATTCGTCATTTGGGTCGACGGTGACGGCGACGTGCGCATTGGCACTGTCAACGCCATATCGGCGGCTGCCGCGTTCGGTGGCGGAGGTGAACTTGAGCATTTCAGTGCGTCGTCTTCTAATCCAAAAAACCAATCGTCATCGTACTGCCTGAAATTTGTTGATATTTCGCACAAAAATCTTCTTTCTTCCATTTATTTTCACCTCTAATAGCAGAAGTCATATTCCCAAAAAATAATCGTGATGAAGTTTTCTTCATTTCAACAACTCATTTCATACAATTCGACTTCCTCATATCGCAGTATTCAACTTAGGATGCAGGCTTAAAGCTGCTCTACTCAATACTATTGAAGAGTGCATTCATACAACATACAACAGTTGAATTTCCTTTATGTCAAAAGCTAAATTTACCAGACCCTAGGGAGTCATAAACCCGCTTCAAACTAGGATGAAATGCTTCCACAGTGGATACCACCCATCAATGGCGATAATGAGAAATGTTTGCTCTCACAATCAGCATCAAATCATCTCAGTCCTCACAATCAGCATTACAACACACAACTGCACTGCACTGGTGACAGCAAGGTATACACCTATCCAAATGAGAATTATCAACAAAAACTCAATTCTGATTGCTAATCGCATAGCATCCCATCACACTTCCGGTAACTGACAATTGACGAAGTTTAAAATTGTGACCATGCATTCTATGGCACTCCAACTCAACAATCTCAGAATGTGTTCCGTCCAAATGAATCTCAAAATCGCGAGAATCGTTTTCGATGGAATCAATCTGTCGTTGCATTATCTACCCCATCACTAGTTGCTCACATCAAAGTAGCGGTGCGCAACTCATCTCAAAAAAATAGTCACATCTCATTGAATATTATCAACGGGAACGTTCATATTATTTAACTGCATCTTCCTTCACAAAACCGAATGATCAGATTAAAAAATCAGTCAGAGCGAATGTAAAATTGTCATCTTAATCAATTGTGACACTGGTGTTTTATATTTTGCTTGGTGATACAAACTTGTAACATGCTGAGTTACTCTTCGCTAAATTAAATTCAGCCATCCTTCTAGTGTGGATTCTCCTTTTGACAAAAAACAAAAAATTCGCAGAACGTAACAAATTCCACTGATGCACACGAAACTCCTACAGAAATGATAACTTTTTTTCAACTCTTTCGTCTTCTCTAATGAATTTTGCTAAAAAATTTGATGAGTATTCCAAAATTTCCAACGTCATTCCCACGCCGATTCAAACTTCTAAACAAACTTAACGCTAGCTAGCTCTCTGAAGAAATTTCTATAGAATACGGTTAGGAAACTAACACAACGATTCCCTGACTGAACGACAGACACATCATGAAAATAACAACAGCAATATAAATTGCAACTATCAAATCGAGACAGTAACAAATAATGAAATTAAATAAAAAGACAATAATAAGAATAGAAATTTCTTCCGAAGCGAACTGAAACTGATTTCATAACGCCAAACAAACTCACTCGGCAAGAGGGTCGAAGGTAGAGAAACCATTAGAAGACATCATGGCGCGTTCACTTCTCTCTCACCAACGTCTACTAGACAATTTCTTCACTAATCGTAAGATAGTGCATAATCAGGCTGAAATCAACACTATTTATACGTTGAACAATTTCACCGAAATCAAACAATCAACTTGTCAATTCAGCGTAAACGCGTTTGGAAAGAGTATCGTACGAATATAATGTTCACACAAAACGCATTTATCAATATGGATCAGTAGGAAAAAATCTTCAGTGAAACTTCCGTGTGACAGTGTGATTACAGCAAGTGGAAAGTGATGACTAAATCAAACTGCCCTTGCAAAAAAACAAAA